CAGAGGTTTGAGGTTTGACGAGATGGTTCAGTGTGAAGGTGCTTTGGAGCAAATATTCGGGACAAAATGCTGTAGGAAAAGTACTGTTCTGAGGGAAGAAGATTCAGCTTATAGTGAATGATTGAAGTTTCAGTCCTGAGTGAAGGTGCTTTGGAACGATGCTTCAGACAGGTTCAAGGTGAAGGTTCAGTTCGGAGTGAAGGATCGAGGTGAAGGTTCTGTTCAGAGTGAAGGATCGAGGTGAAGGTTCTGTTCAGAGTGAAGGTTCGAGATGAAGGTTCAGTTCGGAGTGAAGGATCGAGGTGAAGGTTCAGTTCAGAGTGAAGGATCGAGGTGAAGGTTCTGTTCAGAGTGAAGGATCGAGGTGAAGGTTCAGTTCAGAGTGAAGGTTCAAGGTGAAGGTTCTGTTCAGAGTGAAGGTTCAAGGTGAAGGTTCAGTTCAGAGTGAAGGATCGAGATGAAGGTTCAGTTCGGAGTGAAGGATCGAGGTGAAGGTTCTGTTCAGAGTGAAGGATCGAGGTGAAGGTTCTGTTCAGAGTGAAGGTTCGAGATGAAGGTTCAGTTCGGAGTGAAGGATCGAGGTGAAGGTTCAGTTCAGAGTGAAGGATCGAGGTGAAGGTTCTGTTCAGAGTGAAGGATCGAGGTGAAGGTTCAGTTCAGAGTGAAGGTTCAAGGTGAAGGTTCTGTTCAGAGTGAAGGTTCAAGGTGAAGGTTCAGTTCAGAGTGAAGGATCGAGATGAAGGTTCTGTTCAGAGTGAAGGATCGAGGTGAAGGTTCTGTTCAGAGTGAAGGATCGAGGTGAAGGTTCTGCTCGGAGTGAAGGATCGAGATGAAGGTTCAGTTCGGAGTGAAGGATCGAGGTGAAGGTTCAGTTCAGAGTGAAGGATCGAGGTGAAGGTTCAGTTCAGAGTGAAGGTTCAAGGTGAAGGTTCAGTTCAGAGTGAAGGTTCAAGGTGAAGGTTCAGTTCAGAGTGAAGGTTCAAGGTGAAGGTTCAGTTCGGAGTGAAGGTTCAAGGTGAAGGTTCAAGGTGAAGGTTCAGTTCAGAGTGAAGGTTCAAGGTGAAGGTTCAGTTCGGAGTGAAGGTTCAAGGTGAAGGTTCAGTTCGGAGTGAAGGATCGAGGTGAAGGTTCAAGGTGAAGGTTCAGTTCAGAGTGAAGGTTCAAGGTGAAGGTTCAGTTCGGAGTGAAGGATCGAGATGAAGTGAAGATTCGGACTGCAGGTTTGAGGCGAAGGTTCAGTTCGGAGTGAAGGTTCTTCAGAATGTTGTTCTGGGTGATTCTCTGCCAGTGTAAACCGTGTGTTATCAGTGTTCTGCAGGAGTGTATATTATATGCTTGTGTAGCTGCAGCTGTAACCTGTGTGCTGTTTTTCTGCAGATCCGGCCGTATGTGGGCTGCCTGGTTCAGTACCTGCCTCTGCTGTGGAAACAATCAGAGGAACACAACATGCTGCGCTGCGCCATCCTCACCACACTGATACACCTGGTGCAGGTACGACTCTTCAGTACAACTTATTATATAGAACCTTGTAGTTCGGATAGGTTTATTCACAAAACTAAATAAGGCGTAATTGATGCAATTAAGGTACATTTAAAAATAAAATCCAGCAGTTTCTGTTCTTGATCTTTACTTCAGTTCATTTTTGGAGATTAACATGCAACTCAACTCTTTCAGGGTTTGCGTTTAACAGCTGTTGGTCCTCGTGACGAATTCTTGGGTGGGTCAGTCGTTGAAAGACATTGTCTGAACAGTTATATTAGCTAGGCTAGCGCTAACATAGCTACATTAGGCTAGCCGGTATCAGTTGCTAATTGCCACTGTCCTGATGTAATCATTGGTGGGTCAACCATGGAAAGCATGTCTGGACTAAAGCAATAATAGCTACAACTTAAAAGAGATGGTTTCGGGGTCTTCAGTGAAGAAAGTAGTGCTATGTAGAACCATGAGCACTGGAAGCATTTGCATGATTAAAGGGTTTGTTGCATTGTGAAACCGTTCTTCAGTTTGATGGAGAATGTGGTGAAGATGGTTCTATATAGCACCTTTTTGAAAAGGGTCCTATGTTGCACCAAAAAGCGTTCTTCTATTGGTGCTAGCTTGACACTGTAACAATAGCAGAACCTGTTTGGTGCTGTATAGTATACAACACACTCTTCATCAATCTGAAGAACCGTTTTGTCATGCAGAGAACTATTTAAGCACGCAAAGCGTTCTTCAAGTGTTCATGGTTCCATATAGGACTGTGTTCTTTACTAAAGAACCCTTTCAGGACCCTCTTCTTTAAGAGTGTAGTGTAGCACTACAGTCGTCTAAAAGAAGAGCAGTGGTGCTGAAGTCACGTGATGAAAGTGCAGTAGTGGTTTTAACCTGTGCTGCGAGTTTGATAACGTCACGGCGCTCTTAATCAATAATCTGATAAACAGTCACGAGAGTGGAGGTGATAAAGTGTCGATTGTGTTCTTCTCATATTTTCTATACTTGCTCTTTAGTCCTGCTGTTCCGAGGCTGGACGGCAAAGCGAGACTCGCTGGACCCAAGCCTCGCGCCACAGTGTGTCATTAACTTTGTTTTTGTTTGCTGTTGGTGTTTAGTGGCTGAACATATGGCCTAACAGCTGGCTGTGGTTGACCCCTGGCTCCGCAGACGGGGGCGGACGGGGGCAGAGCCCAGAGTCAGTCTCCGCTAAACGGTCGCACTGCGCGCTCCGTCTCCAAAAGCAGATTTGTGGCAGCTGCTTGAAATTGGCCTCGTTTTTCTCAGCATATGCAGCTTCTCATTTGGCCGCTGTTGCGTCGCAGAGCCGCTGCGGTTCAGAGCCCGAGCGCTGATTAGTCTCTAGTAAACGATCAACTGATAAACTGTTTCTGGAAGTTCTTTAATGACCATTTTTAGGCTTCCAGGCCCTGAAGCTCTGATTACTGTTCGGATTTTTAACCTGGTGTTCAGATGTCACACCAGTCACTCCCTGTGAGGGGCGCTATGGCACACGTTAGTCTGTAAGGCATGAACTGTGAGAATTCTTCTTAATTCAGATTCTTACCTTTAATTGCGCAGATTTGTCAAATGGACTTTAACTCCGCCCAGTCAGAGTCTGACCTCATTTGCATTTTTGCAAAAATGTGCACATTTTTGAAAAAAAGTACTTCTGGAAATTAAACTTAAATTACTTACATGGGCTGAACTGTTATGTTGTTTTCAAAACAGTCTTCATATTTCATTACGGTAGGTTAGCCACACCCATAGAACTTTTAGTGGGCGTGGCTGAGCAGCACAAACAGCTGTAAATGGTGTTTTTTTCCTAAACACACCTGACACACAGGTACAGTACAGGCTCTGAGACTGCATCACGTTAGGACTGATAGAAGGATGTTATACTCCAATAGCTTTACTGACTGATTCGATTGATATTGATATTGTTTTTAAGTTCTTGTCTGTATATACTGCGTATTATTATTATTATTATTATCATTATTATTATTGTTATTATTATTGTTATTATCATCGTTATTGTTATCATTATTATTATTGTTATTATTATTGTTATTATCATCATTATTATTATCATTATTTTTATTGTTATTGTTATTGAACTCTCTGAGATTAATAATTCAGGAATCCTGGCCAACATCGGCAGCATCACATTACAAAATATTTTCAAAAAACAAAATACACATTACAGACATAAACAATGTATAAATGAATAATCAACAATGCGTAATTAATCATTTAAAGCACTGAGGGAGTTTTAGCCTCTTCCGCTGTTTAAAAAAGTCATTTTAATGAAACACGTTCCTGAATTTTAAGTGTTGGTGTAACAGATTCCAGTCGCTGCAGCGTAAATAAAATCCTAATTCAGTGCGTACAGGGGGGCGTTAAGTTCGTAGAAGATAAAGATTTATACATGTTAATGTCCCAGTGAATCAGCCTGTGTGAAGTCAGAGGACAGAGCTGCTGTTTCATAAAGAACACAGTGGAGAAGAGTCGACTGACAGTAATAAATCATATGATAAACAGGGTCTGATGTTCGTAAGCAGTACAGAGCAGCGTACATGTAAGTGACGCCTCCATAATCAGATAACAGGAAGGAGCAGAAACAAGGTTCTTTTTAGCTTCTAAAGATAAACAAGACTTATTTTCGTCTTCAGTTTCTTTACCAAATGCATAATATGGGGCTTAAATGTCAGAGAATTGTCTACTACCAAACTGATATATTTACGTATTTATGTAGATACATTTTCAAACACACGTCCCTGTGAAGTGGAGACGGCGTCGGTTTGAGGGCTTCTGCTTGAATTTGTAAACAACATTGTAAATGTTACAGTCTGTGTTGATGACTGTAGATGACAATATCACCAGCATAATAATGAAAATTTGCATTTGGCACATTATGACTAAGTATTAACATGTACAGTAAAAAGCAGAGGCCCCAGAATTGATCCTTGAGGCACACCTTAAAGCCTTCAGCCTGCACACACTGCGTTCTATTAGATACATAATTCTCAAACCAGACGTTTGCAGATAATTCATAAATCTGTATTTCATTACTGTTGGTCCACAGTGTCAAGAACGTATAAGAATTATGTTAGTAGTTCTGTAGTTTATATAGAGATATATAGTGTTTTAAACTACTTCTCTTTTCCCTTCTTAACACACATTATCACGACTTTCATCATAAAACAACTGATGAAACTGCACCGAATGAAATCTGTAAAAGGCTTGAGAAGAACCACTTTAGGTTCTCTGAAGAGCCTTTCAGTGGACGATTCTCTAAAACGAGGTGGTTAAACTGAGGTGTCTGTGTGAAGAACCTTGTTAAAGTGTGTTCCTGAACGCAGACAGGACCGTTATGTTTCAGAGTGTTTATATAAGGTGTGTTATGAATATGATGTAGACGTGTCCGCAGTCTCAGGCTGTGGTGAGGAGAAGAGGGATGCTGGGGTCCTGATGATGAGCTGTGATAGTGACTGAGTGCTGGGATCTTCAGCCGTAATGTGCTCAATAATGTTCCCCGGGGCGTCCCCCCAGCGCTGCCCCCTCACCGCCGCCCCCCCCCGCTTCATTACTGTCACTCACTCCGTCTGTACAGCTGAGAGCTGAACACTGCTGAGTTCTGAACTGCTGACACCTCCGCACAGTGGTCAGCCAGCAGCATCAGGCTGAGCCTGAGTATCTGCCTGAGTGAGTGAGTGAGTGAGTGAGTGAGTGAGTGAGTGAGTGAGTGAGTGGGAGGTGTGTTCAGTGTAGCAGTGGGTGATACAGCAGCTGAAATTCTACTTACTGTCTCAATAATAATAATAATCTTTATTTATATATTTACTTACATTAAAAATGCAGCTGAAGTGCTTCACAATGCAAAGTAAGAACAACAGAGAACAAGAAAAAATGGGCAGGAAGGGATTTATTAATAATTAACATTAAAATTCTATACGTTTATAGACGAAGGCGTGCTCAGTGTGACGGTGTATACTGAGGCGTATAAACCCATTACGGGTGTTGTGGAATGTTCTGCAGGGTTTGGGAGCTGAGAGCAGGAACCTGTATCCATTCCTCCTGCCGGTGATCCAGCTCAGCACTGACGTTTCCCAGCCTCCACACGTGTACCTGCTGGAGGACGGCCTGGAGCTTTGGTAAGGAACACACACACACACGCACTCACACACACACACACACACACTCACACACACACACACACACTCACACACACACACACACACACACACACACGCACTCACACACACACACACACACTCACACACACACACACACACACTCACACACTCACACACACACACACACACTTACACACACACACACTTACACACACTCACACACACACTCACACACACACACACACACTCACACACACACACACACACTCACACACACACACACACACACTCACACACTCACACACACACACACACACTTACACACACACACACTTACACACACACACACACACTCACTCACACACACACTATCTAAACCGCTTATCGTCCTGGGTCGCAGAAGCCTGTCCCAGCACTGATTGGGCAGAAGGCAGGAAACACCCTGGACAGGCCGCCAGTCCGTCACAGGGCAGACAGGCAGACAAACTGATATAAACACAGTGATTTCTGTTTGACCTTTAACTCTATTTTTAAATACTTTCGCTTTCACAGCAACACACTACACTAAACACAGTGCAGCATCTCTCTCTGTCTGTCTCTCTGTCTCTCTGTCTGTCTCTGTCTCTCTCTCTCTCTCTCTCTCTCTCTGTCTCTCTCTGTCTCTCTCTCTCTCTCCCTCTCTGTCTCTCTCTCACTCTCTCTCCCTCTCAATTCAATTCAATTCAATTCAAATAACTTTATTGGCATGAATTGTAATGAACAATTGTTGCCAAAGCAATTAAAATATCCTAGTAGAATATGAAGATAATGGTGAAGAAGGAAATAATGTATAAAAGAAAGACTAAAATAATAAAACATTCATATGTACATACACACATATACATACACACACATACACACACATACACACATATACATACACACATATACACACACACATACACACACATACACACATATACACACACACATACACACACATACACACATATACATACATACACATACACACATATACACACACACACATACACACATATACATACACACATATACATACACACATATACATACACACACATACACACACATACACACATATACATACACACACATACACACACATACACACATATACATACACACACATACACACACATACACACATATACATACATACACATACACACATATACATACACACATATACATACACACACATACACACATATACATACATACACATACACACATATACATACACACACATACACACATATACATACACACATATACATACACACACATACACACACATACACACATATACATACATACACATACACACATATACATACATACACATACACACATATACATACACACACATACACACACATACACACACACACATACACACATATACATACATACACACACATACACACATATACATACACACACATACACACATATACATACATACACACACATACACACATATACATACACACACATACACACATATACACACACAACATCAAATAAATAAATGATACGTTTACAGGGGATCAGTTTAAGGCGCTGTGTCACTCTGTTCTCTGCGTTTGTGGCAGCTGTGAACATATTTAGCTGATAGTTCAGCACATTCTGGAGTCTCTCCTAAACACACCCCTAACAGATCTTCTGTTTTAGTCATTTTCTCTTTAAATGATGGGATATAAGTTGTAACTGAGCTGAATAATCTTCTCTGAGGTCTTTATATCTGTTACAGGAGGAGAGAAAGTGCTGCTCTGTTTCTGTTTGTCCTGAACTGCACTGATTACATACTCGTTCTTCTCTGGGCCTCCAGTGTTTTATGGCCTTTTTCTATTTCTAAACTGTGGTCACTCAGTCAATCACTCCTCTCCCTCTCTCTCTCTCTCTCTCTCTCTCTCTCCCTCTCTCTCTCCCTCTCTGTCTCTCTCTCTCTGTCTCTCTCTCCCTCTCTGTGTCTCTCTCTCACTCTCTCTCTCCCTCTGTCTCTCTCTCGCTCTCTCTCTCCCTCTCTCCCTCTCTCTCTCTCGCTCTCTCTCTCTCTCTCTCTCTCTCTCCTCCACTCCGTTCAGTAAGCAGGTTCATTTTTTCCTTTTCTTTATATTAATATTAATATTATTATTATTAATATTATGCTGTCTGTGTTTCTGCTTGGTCTGTCAGCAGCAAACAAAAACTAGCCTAGCGTTTGAACTCAGCATCAGTGCTCAGCATGTCTGTTTCTACGCTGTGACGTCCTGAACGGCCATGTGACTTAAACACAGGCGGGATCAGCGACTCGCAAAGGTAACAAACAGCAGAAGATAAACGAGAGGAAACAAACGGCGCTCGATTCCCTGAACCTTCACAGAGTTTAACGGAATCTAACAAAGCTTTTACGAAGTTTACAAGTGAAGAGTGAAGAGTCCCTGGCCAGTCCGGACAGGTGAACCTCCGGGTCAGGTCAGAGGGGAGAGAGCCATGAATGTCTTCCCAGGTGGTGCACTTGTCATGTAAGACACCCCCTTGTGGCCAAACCAGACCTGCACATACTGCAAGAGAGAGAGAGAGAGAGAGAGAGAGAGAGAGAGAGAAGCTCATAAAGCAGTGGCAGAAGATCACACTGGTCAGAAATACTGCAAGTGGCTCTGCTGTCACAAACAGTCCAGCTGCTTCACTGAAAGTCCAGCTCCTTCACTCCATCCTCCTCCAGCCGTCTCTCTTTCTTCTCTCTCCTCTCCTTCACTCTGCTGTAGTTGAGGAGTGAAAGCCTCGGGCATGTCTCTCTCTCTCTCTCTCTCTCTCTCTCTCTCTCTCTCTCTCTCTCTTTATTGCTCTCTGCTGCTGCTCGTTTATCTTCTCTGACTCGTTCCGTCTCTCTTCATCTGGAGAACGTGGAGCTGGAGTGTCAAATCATCAGAGAACCCACACAGCACTCAGATGAATCAGCTCAGCTCTGAAAATGTTTTTCTTTTCTTTTCTTCCTTTTAATGCTTCTCTCCATTCAGCTGGAGCGCAGCCGGGCGCTGAGTCGGAGCTGTAGTGTCTCCATGGCGACTGAAAGTGCTTTTGTTGTAGTTTTGTTATTATTACTATTATTATATTTTATTATGTGCGGTTTGTGTCGTTATTACCTCTCTGCACATTTGTCTGAAAAAATCAGACTTTGATCAGATTTTGTGTTCCAATCAGCGTTTAGCGCTACAGTTACAGTACAGTTACAGTAGCTACAGTACAGTTACAGTACAGTTATAGTACAGCTACAGTAGTTACAGTACAGTTACAGTACAGTTACAGTAGCTACAGTACAGTTACAGTACAGTTATAGTACAGCTACAGTAGCTACAGTACAGTTACAGTATTTACAGTACAGTTGCAATAGCTACAGTACAGTTACAGTAGTTATAGTACAGTTGCAATAGCTACAGTACAGTTACAGTACAGTTATTGTACAGCTACAGTTACAGTACAGTTATAGTACAGCTACAGTAGCTACAGTACAGTTACAGTAGTTACAGTACAGTTACAGTACAGCTGCAGTACAGTTAGAGTACAGCTACAGTACAGTTACAGTAGCTACAGTACAGTTACAGTACAGCTGCAGTACAGTTACAGTACAGTTATAGTACAGCTACAGTACAGTTACAGTAGTTACAGTACAGTTACAGTAGCTACAGTACAGTTACATTTATAGTTACAGTTACTTGAAATGCAAGAGTTCAATAAGAGTATAAGTACAGTGAAATCACATCATGCAATTACAGTACAATTAGGATATAATTACAGTGCAATTACAGTTCAAATAGAGTATAATTGTAGAGCAATTGCAGCACAAATATAGTTTCATTACAGTACAGTTATAGTATAGAGTTCAGTTATTGTTCAATTACAGTCCAATTGCAGTGCCATTAGAGAACAACTACAGTTAAATTGCAATGCAGTTACAGTACAGAGTACAATTACAGTGTAGTTACAGTACAAGTACAGTAAGATTACAATTCAATTGCAATGCAGTTACAGTACAATTACAGTGCACATACATCACAGATACTATTACAGTACTGTTACTGTAGTTACAGTGCAATTACAGTGTGGTTAGCACACAGTTGCAGTACAATGAGAATAATTGCAGGTTAATTACAGTTCAGTTACAGTGCAGGTACATCATTAAGAGTCCAGTACAGCTCTGCTGTTACAGCAGTGGACTCTGCAGGAAGACTGTAGGTTATTACAGAGTTATTAATGACTTAGAGAAGAGTAAACTGCCTCACTGTGTGCGATTGTGTGTTTGTTGTGCAGGTTGGTGACGTTGGAGAACAGCCCGGCTCTCACGCCTGAACTGCTGAGAATCTTCCAGAACATGTCCGCTCTGCTCGGTGAGTCTTCAGTCGTTATCCTCTGATTTTACTGAGAGCTCAGACGTTCAGGTTCCCTCAGCCGCTGAGCTCATGATGACCTGTAGGCAGATTATTGAGATTTTAATACATATTTCTCCTTGATTTATTAGATATTTATTGTTTCTGTTGAGTCTTTATTTTTATTGAGTGTCAAAATACGCATAATGAGCTTGTGTTTACTTTCTGATTGTACACCTTAATAACGATCATTTCTTCAGAATATTTAATCATGATGAGTTTAGAATTGTTACAGGATCCTTTAACTAATTAAGTAATAATTTCATCCTGTCTAATTTGCATAAACACGATAAACTTCCTGTAACAAATGCATATGAAGTGAGATACTGATGCTCAGCGTATGGATTTGGTGGTGAGATCCTGTGTTTGATGGTGAAAAGTGAGCTGTGTGAGGTTAAAGATAACGAACTATTTCAGCAGATTTTCTATGAAGGTGAGTTAAATGAAGATGTCAGCTCTGCGCTGGTGACTTCAGGTCTGAGTGGTTGTGAAAGAAACACAAGTACAGGCAGAGTTCCTGAACCGCAGCACGGCTAATTAACACAGCCTGATATCTGCAGGAGATTCTCTCGGTTCTCGCGCTGGAGTGACACTCGTCTCATGAATTAGTCATCATGCATGGCTGTGTTTGTTGTAAGCAGCTGTGCTGAGTGGAGGCACCTCACTCACCGGATCTGTACGGGCTTTTTTAGGCGCCGCGCCGCTGAACAGCTCTCAGCGTGTTTGTACACACGGGGATGTTTTGTTTGCATGTTTTTCAGTGCAGTGTTTTTGTTTGTTTCATCTGCTGAGTCCCCGTGTTTTTCCTCGAGCTGCATGTTTCTGGAATTCATCTGTTGAACAAATGTTTTCAAAACAGTTTTAGTGGCCTTACCAGTCAGAAGTGCTCTATATGTTCATGATCCACACAGTCAGTCTGACAGACTGTGATACACTACAGGAAGTGTAGGGGGCGATATGGCTTCTACTGTTTCATTTAAAAAGCTCTATAATGTTCATATGATCCACACAGTCACTCTGACAGACTGTAATACACTACAGGAAGTGTAGGGGGCGATATGGCTTCTACTGTTTCATTTAAAAAGCTCTATAATGTTCATATGATCCACACAGTCACTCTGACAGACTGTAATGCACTACAGGAAGTGTAGGGGGCGATATGGCTTCTACTGTTTACTGATGCTCAGTAAAGTAAACTGTGTGGAACCTGTCTGAGTGATCTTGAGTAGACTTGGTAATGAGTTTTTCTGTAAGATATGCTGGTACCTATAATCTTTAACATATTTATTATTATTGTAAACATATACAAATGAATTTTGTAGGGTCCAGAACTGAACCTTTCCGAGTTCCTCTTAGACCTGTAAGCCTCCAGTCCAACATACATAGACACAACATATATAATACTGAGTAACTAAATAATCTTTGAAAGCTGTTTAGATGCTCATTTTGAAAGCTGTGTTTGTAAACACATGGGTTTGTGTCTCTTTGTTCTCTTTCAATGATGCATAAAAACAAAGTTAAAGCTAACAGCTCCCCTTGTGGAGAAACTGCAGACTGCATAATGTGCCTGAGTGAACTGCTACACCAGCCTCTGACTGTATTCCGGACTTTTGCCACGTTTTGAAGTCAGTGCTCGTTGAACAGGTGTTGAAATGGACTACAGTCTGTAGTGAGACTGTGTGGTCAGTTTTCTCTGTTCTGTATCTGTTTATTTCCTCCTGAACTCTTTATCCTTTAACGCTGATCTCAGCTCGCATTAAACTCAGTGTAGAGAGTCCTGCACTGCTGCTCTCACAGCAGGGAATGAACTGAGGTGAACTCTGACAGACATGATGTTTACCACATCAGCGTCCTCACCTGGAATAGAGTCCAGCACAATACAGCTGTGGAGCTGCACTCTGTCAGAGTCAGAGCAGAGAGTGGACGGGTGTCACAGGTCAGTGGCACTCGGAGAGAGGGAGAGAGGGGGGGGGAGAGAGGGGGAGAGAGGGAGAGAGGGAGAGGGACTTTCATTAAAGCTTCTGGAAGCGCATTGAATTGTAAAGTGGGCCGGCTGATTGAAATGAAACGCTTTTTATTTTCCATTTGCATCGTCGCTCGTCCCGGCGGACGCCGTGTGTCAGGTGCTGATGGTGATGTTAGCGTCGTGCTGCTTTTCTCCACTCAGCTGTGGTTTAGGTGAAGTAGAGACTCAGAGCTGCCTGAATGACCGCTAATGTACAGTCTGGCGCTCGGAGACCTGCAGCATCGGTGAAACTCATTTACCGCCTGTTTAAAAACCTCCGTTTATTTATTACATTCAGACCTTTAATATTCACACACAATCATAGCTGAGCTCTTAAACACGTCAGATCTGCCTGATCTGCATAAATATCACAGTTATTGATCATAACTGAGTTCAATGGGTTGTTTACAAACAAATGCTATCATAATGTCAACAAATGTTGCAAATACAACAAATGAGAATGAAATCAAATTTACAAAGTAAATCAGTGATTCCAGCTGAAAGATAAACAGAGCCACGCTGAGCTGCTGCTTCACGGCTGCAACAACAGAAGCTGAACGCTGTGAGCTTTTATAGCGTCCCGGCGGTCCGACACCATGAGGGGATCCAGCCAAACTTTCAGCATCTCCCCAAAACACTACGGAGTCTGATCTCATCAGTCTGACACAGACAGACAGACAGAGGATCAATATCTCTGATCAAACTGACTTTTTCTTTATATCTTGATGTGGAAGCGATCAATATAGTTTTTAAATTATAGCCTACATGATTAAAATATTTTAAGAGAAATTTAACCTGATAACCCAGAACTTAAACTGCCTGTACAGTTAGACCAGTCAGATTCAGCCAAACCTGCCTGTGTTGTGACATCACAACCGCAGCTTACTGGCAGTCCGGTGCAGTGCATCCATGGGTCGAGCCTGAAGCCAGAAAAGGTGGATATTCTGGACTTTTCAGTTAAAAAAAACAGACCTGAACCTTAATTTGTAGAAAGTAAAGTAGTTTAAATCACAGTCGCCGAAAAATCGCAATTAGATATTTTCCCCAAATGGTTGGTGCTTCTTCTGGGTTTTGTGAAGAAAATCTGCACAACAAATTTAAGTGAACTTCAGCTCATCACTGTCACTGTGTCACTTACACGCCCACTTCAACCAAACTGGAGCTCAGACATTGAAGACCCCTCAGTTAAACTCACTGATGAACTGAAGGAGGAGCAACGCCTCTGTTTAGCACCCAGTGGGTGGAGTCTTCCCCATATACAGAGCAGCAGGGGGAGGAGTCTCAGTCGTGGGAGGGGTTTTGGTTGTTGGAGAGACAGATACATTTGCATGTTTATAAAGTCTGGGTATTTCCTGAAGTGGTTTGAGTGATGAGATTTAAACCCGTTTTTAAATGGCTGTGTTTACACCTGCATCTTAATGTGGATCCCAATCTGGATATAATCCTGATACTCACAGACCCGTCCAGGTGTGAACACAGTCTTAAGCCCTTAACGTGAAAAAGTGCTTAATTCCACTGTTTAATCTTCTCGTCTGCATTAATGACAGGATCTCTCAGCGCTGCTGTGTTTATTCTGTGACGATCGTGATCCAGCGAAGCTGAAAATACAGAGACGTTTACTTAGTCTGAGTCTTAAATCAGTGAAAAGCTCTTCCTGATCTGAACTGCACTCTAATAAACACACATCTGTGTTGCTTGGTAACCTTAGCCTGCTGTTATTGAACTACATTGCTTGGCAGATTAATTATTTATTGCAATTATTTTTATTAAGAATAATAAGTCATTATAGAACTTGAGAGTATTACATCATCCTGCTCTTGGTTGACTTTGTTATTAAAGTAGTTTTTCCATGGTGGAGAGAGTTCAGATACTTCGCTTTACACCGTGTCTAACAACACCCCGTAACCATGGTGACATCACCGTACCGCATGGCCTATTTTACCTTACTGTATTAATGACTCAGACTGGACAACTTCCTGTCTGACCGAGCCCAAACTCACCCACCCGCAACCCAGCTTCACATCATTAAAACCAGGATTTGCCCCCCCGAGTGTCCTTTATCCCCCTTCAGATAGCACCTCACCCACCCCCCCCTCACTCCCACACACTCCCACACACTCCCACACTGAGCCAGACTCAGGTTTAAAACTGCTTAAAACTTTTTATCTGAGCAGCCAGAATGACCTGTAGAAAACCGTTTAAATAGACCTGAATACAGTAAAATACTGTACAATATTAGAATAAACTCAAATATAAATACACAAAACTGTCTAACTATATCATGATGAAATAATAAATATGCAAATAACTGTATGATATATACCCTCATTGAGTGTTTGTGTGTGTGTATGTATATATATATATATATATATATATATATATATATATATATATATATACACACACACACACACACACTTTGGCTCATTAAATGATATATATGACAAGCTCAATGACTAGGATATATATATATATGTATGTGTGTGTGTGTGTGTGTGTGTGTGTGTGTGTAATCATGTATACACTCATTGGTTGGAACATGCATCATATATACAGTCAAAGGGTGTATACATTATATACTGTCAGCATATATATCACATATACAGTCAGAGATTGAGGGTGGGTTCTTGTCCCAGTGGAGGATCTGGAGGGGAACCAGAGCTCCACCAAGCTGCTGCTGTTGTTAGTTTGCTGCTGGATTGTTCAGTCCAGTTTGTTCTGCCCAGCAGGGTCTGCTGAAGGTTCTCCAGCTCTAACACCACTGAAGTCACTGCATCAGCGCTGAGTTATGCTAATACTCAATGCCTCAGTGATAAAGCGACTCACTGCAGATCAGCAGCTGGAAATAACTTCAGTTTTATCAAGAGAGCCGTAATGTAACCGATCAGGGTGGGCCTACAGAGGGTCCCGAAGATCTGACTAAAGTAATATCTGATGTTTAATATGAACTGTGATT